TGCAATGGCATTCAATACAGTGATTGGCCTAATACCACATATCCGTAAGAAATTAGAAAATTATTTTCCATGGCTTAAGACAGACTCGGCTGACAGGGGAGAAGGTATGAGCTGTTTTTCTAAACCGGTCGCCTATACATGTGCAGCCACCACTAGTTTCTGTTCCTGTTGGATGCTAATTGGCATAATGCTTAACCCGACTTGGGGTTTGACTGTTACGCTTATGATATGCTTTACGTTTGCCTCCTTCACTTATGCTGTCTACGAATATCTTACTTTAGTTAGCTGTAAACAAGATGGAGTGAAACCCGATAAACTGCATGCTCTATTACCTGGTCTTTTGGGTTTCCTTGCTGTTATTGTCTTAATTCCAGTAATTGTGTTCGCCGGCCAGTCATTTAATGGAAGAGAAACTGCGGATGAAACATTGAAGACCATACTTATGACTGCTCTTGGTTCCTTCATTTCGTGGTTGTCTTGGAAGAGGCTTCTGGACAAAAGCCAAAAGTCAGAAGAGAAACAAACCCAACTCCCATCCAGTGACCCAAGGCGGACGCCTTCTGACGTCGTTACGGATACTGACTCAAGGCAATTTTCATTCATCGATTCATCAACTTCTTACACCTCAAGTCAGAATTCTTTATATCATACATGTCCTTGCCTATGTCATCCGCCAGTAAACGATCACAATACGGCGGAAAGCCAGTCCTCAAACGATGGTTCATTTATAGAAAAAAGCCAAGCATGTTGCAGAATGGTGCTAAGTGGTGAAAATATCGAATTTAACGAGAAACAAAGGAATGACATAGAGAGCAAAGTGTAGCAAAATCTGAATTCGTCGGCTTAAAACTCGGTCTCCATGTGGAATACCACTTTTATTTGCAATCGACTTCTTAAATTACGATTTGTAAGGTCAAAGAAGATATTTGAATCGGTTTGCAGAGTTTGAAATGTCAAAATAGTAATGAAATGGCGGGAAAAACTATTTCCTACTGCCTCTCTTATAACATACGTTGAGTAACCACTCGTCTGGAAACTCATACATTTAACAAAAGGTAGAAAGATTTCGAGACTTCAATGAAATCAATTGCATCACGAGGAACTAAGCACAGTGCCATAAGTGGCAATGGCGGTTGTGTGTTGGGAATATGCCATTATTAAGGAAATTAAGGAAATGTATGAACTAGATATTTTTCCAACAGTGGGGTTGTTACTGGAAGAACAATCTGTCGAGGAGTTTTTTAATAACAAGAGGAGAGGCAAGATTTTTTCATGTTCAAGATAACTCTGCTCAGGAGCATGAGCGAAATGGCTGCACTGTTTTAGTACTTTTTGTTGTACAAATATAGATTGAGTCTAGCTGTGGATCTGAGAAGGAGTCATTTTCTTCATTGAGGAAGTTTTTCATAAGAGCTTTTTCCAAGATGTTCTCGAGGCCAAATACCATGGAACACACAAGTTCTCTACTGTTGATAGGTGACTCAGCTACATTTAACTGACAGGAATTATTTTTTACTGATGTGATCAGTTATGATAAATTCAATCTTGTATTACCCTGATTACATTGGAAGTCTAGTTAAATAACGTTAGGATCTATTGCTCTCTAAAAAACTTGTAAAACTAAAAACAAATTGAGTGTTCGTCCTCAAGTCAACGTAAAAATGAATCAGCTTGCATTTGCTCAAAGTTATATTTAGACATCATTAACAATAGCTGACCCGTGGCTGCAGTTGTCACGACATCATTATCAACTTGTAAACAATGGATACTAAAAACATCGCTCGACTTGTAAGTCAAATCATGTGGAAACGTTCAGCCTATTAATCGGTAAGGTAAATTTCTCATGATATCAGCCTTCCCCATAAGCCTCGAGCTCAATTATCGACCGGACCGGATAGCCATAAAAGATCTGGCATATTATTTATTTGAACCGTTAAAGAATTAAGAAATATAAGTGTAAGAGTTTATAAGTTTACAACTTCCGTTTTCTTTCGGAACAATCTAGTGTGACTTATTTCCATTGACACCCAAGTAAGTGATCTGTGGTCGTTCAACTCCTACTGTCACAGGCTTAAATGAAAATTTTGGATATCTCATTTTGGTTTCGTTTCACTTGAAGGTGGCAAAACAGAAAAGGCATTAAAAGAATATCATAAAACAGAACATCAAACATGAAGAGTACAAAAACGTACCATTCAACAAGCAACACATATATCATAAAATAAAAACCATCCGAACTAAATTTATCAACTCGGTGGCTATGAACTAAATAAAGTGTCACTCAGCTGCTTTGATGATAAGCGATACATTTATGACGATGGTATAACATCTTACGCTTATGGACAAATTTGAAGATGCAACGTCACGGCACATCTATACCGGCCCACCTTAATAATTCAGCGCTTCAGTGTAATATTTCTACTGAACGATGTGACGTCACGCCACAGTTGTGTCAGCTTACATCTTGCAAGTTTCACAGGCACAGTCTAGTTCATGAGTCCATGTTAGAGATGCCTCATGATGACTTTTAAAATAATCAACCACGGTTTTACCATTACTTACAAACCATATAAATGGTAACTTACATCTTAACACCTTTTTATAAGGACTAAAAAGCTTGTAAGACATTCTAAGTTGCCAAGCTCTTGTTTTCTTAACTCTACAATTCGAATCAACCCAATCATCGAGGCTACCAGAAACTCGCTTCATACTCATTTCCTCTTGAAACTTTTCAAAGGCTCGACTAAGGCACATTCCATATACGAATGCATTCTGAATAACATAGTTTTCGACAGTCCTAAAGCAGTCATAACAATACAACTTCATCTAATAGTCAGCAAATAACCGGACATTGTCGTTCATGTAGGCCACATTTTGGTAATAAAACCCGTTGGTGATTTTTACGTTGATATCTCTTTTATAGCCAGTGTCATTCACATCTTCTAAATCCAAATCATGCATCAAATCGGTTAAACCAGTTTCACTCTCAGCCATTTTTAAAATTAAATTAATTCATGACCTTCTAAATATACCAAGCCCAAGCTTCAGCTGTGTGATGATCATCTTGCTAAGAGTCATGGCGAAACTATAAGAGTTTGGATGGGAATATTTACGACCGCTCTTAGGAATGAAAAATGCAGTCAAATTCTCAATAAAAATACCTCACCTTACTTCCACAGTGCATCGCTTGTTATCTGACCGCTTACTATATTAAAAAGAACCCATTTCGGCGAGTTATCCATTTCTGAAGGCCTGTAGTAAACTTAGAAACACCTGGAGCTTGGGCCGCCCGCAAACATCATTTACTGAGATTGGTTGAAAAAAATCACGAGACAGTCGTATGACCATCATTCCACTTTAAAAACAATAGAGCAAGTTCAGACCTGTTAGCGGGCAACCCCCTATTTTGTTTCCGAGTATTTGACTAATTATTCAGATGCACTCTATCCGTTCAACCCTGATGGTCGCAGCCGTCAAAGTGGGAATATTGTTCCTGCGTTTCTTGTCAGTGTCATCGAGCAGATTTCTGTGTCAAAAATCAATCCTACTTCGTAACTCACAAAAAAGGTATTTCCAACATATACCATGATTTTTTTAAGTGAGTAAGCTCGTCTTAAAGCTCAAATAGCGATAACATAACACAGACCCAGTATAGTAAATCGAACGCAATCGAACTGAATTTCAATTAGATATTATTATATATGTAAAACAATGGAAAAATGTTTCCTCGACTCTAAATGTCTAAGAAATAATTGTCCCTTCATCAATTGTTCATTTTTCTGGTAAATTAGTTAAGAGCATCTGATATTGTATCTAAATAGCAACCAGTCTTGCGGCTAAACAAATCTTTTCCTTTTTCACTGAGTCCGGGATAATGTTATGATATTGTAAGGTGAAGTTATTCCTTAATCACAAATTTTACATGCTGTATAACAGTTCAAGCTAACGATATTATTAAGTATGATTCTAATCATTATACACCTGAGTAGAGCACTGTTTATTAAAAAACTATAATCTCAGTAGTTATCTTGTGCCAAAACAGGTTTGGATTTTTTAATTTACATCTCCAATGTAGCGTTGTAGTTCTGGATGCATTTTATATAAATTCATCACTTGGAAAGATTTTTTAACTCTATATAAAAAACTGTAATGTGCGTGCAAAGAGGATAACAAGCCAACTTTTAAATAGTGCTTTCGTTCAGATTTGAGTTTACATAGGTGACTGTTCCTACAGTACATGGCACCCTTAAGAAACTAAAATTGTTCTGGTTTAAAAATTGAAAAAGTTCGTCATATCTGGTGGTCTGGAACGAACACAGATGAACTTTGCCCCAACAGCCTCTTTGAAGACAAGTGAGTAATACTAGGAGGGGGGGGGGGGTCTATCAGTTTATAAAACATCTCCTTTTAAGTATTGTGTCCATTTTATTTTTTCTCTACCAAATTAAAGCTGTCAAGGTTTTTCAGGTATTTTACTACACAACTGATCTTGCAAGAGCTTTCACATGCACCAAGTCTTACTGAAAGCACTGCCAAATACAAAGACCTCAAATTGTACCTTTTTTTAAGTGCCCTATCCTATACAATGTATCAAATAATTAATCTTGTAGCAGTATGATTACTACAAAATATGACTTAATAAATAAAATCAGACTTCTCAACATGTTTCTAATAACCCTTATTGGAGAAGGTAATACTTTCATAATCTGGGTAAGCTTTTATAAGTTTCTCGACTGCGTTGGAGTGATCTGCTCTACCAAACCCCTGGAAATTAAAAATAAATGTTTCAGAAAGTCAGTCATAGCAGAGAAAACCATGTGTCACTTATAATTACTTATTACCAACAGACTGACATATGCTTGCCTAAAGGTCAGTGTATTGAGGGGTCTGGGTTGAATTCCTTCCCGAGCCATAGTTTAGTGTTCCTTAGCAGATTGTTTCACTCTCACAAGTCCTCTCTCCACCCTAATAAACTTGTAAAACTAAAAACAAATTGAGTGTTCGTCCTCAAGTCGTTGGTTTGTAAGTCAGATCGTTTGGTTTGTAAGTCTTCTTTACAGGAAAGGTACTCTCCACCTGTTTCATAAAATTTTTCTTTTAGTTGTAAGCATGTCGTCCACCTACCAAAAATTCAAAGACGATCAGGGTTAAGAGAGTTTGTTTATTACCTAAAAGGTTTGCTGACACAAGTTTAGTTATGAAAAAGCCCTACATTTCAAATTTATTAGACGCAATATAAGATTTCGATGTCTAAAATTTAATGTTTTTGCGAGGTCTTAGTGACTAGAATCTGTGATAACCGCGAGAGATAAAATTAGGACAGTCGAGCCTACGATCAGCCATTAGTCGTTAGGAGGGTTTAGGTAAGAAGTTAAGCTGTTTCCGGCGCTGATTTTTTCCTTAAATGTTTATATCAAAAGGAATTGATTTCAAACTTTGATTAGAAGAGGCTTTATTCAGAATGGCAAACGATAGAAGCTTACAGATACGTATTATTGGAGTTAGACATTACTATTTCATGGAAACCGGAAGTATCGTGAACGTGTTCTTTTATTTACATCCAGCCGATATACTAAGTATTTGGCCGAGCCAAAATGTAAAGAATTGTACCACAAATTACTGCAGATAAACTGTGGCCAACAACCTTCCCACAAGCGTTACGATCATTTAAGCCACATCGTAGCTAGTTTCTCCACATTAATTCGCGAGAAATCCTCTACTGATTCTTCTTGAATATATTCAATGTTGAAAGAAAGGCATTCAGTATTCGTTTCAAAGCCTCGTTTCACCCAAGAATATAAACGAGTACCATAGCACTATCAAGGACTAACTTTTTTATGTGCTGGGTGATTTTCTGCGATGGAATTGCGTCCTGTCCACATGGAGTGGCAATATACTAACTCGACACTTCATGCTATATGGAAACTGTGATAACCTCTAGCAATAATCTAATAATAATAATAATAATAATAATAATAATAAATAATAATAAATAAATAATAATAATAATAATAAATAATAATAAATAATAATAATAATAATAATAAACTTTATTTACGTGTCAAATAAGATAGCAGTTTCCCACTAAGTAAGGACACCTAAACTAAACTAATCTAATCTATATAAAACTAAGCATTAAAAATTTATTGGAATATGATAAAAGAGCTCTTGCCATATAAAACTACCCTACCCCGAAATAGTAGACCCCATGTTTATAATACCCTACCCTGTATAATAAGATAATAACCTTAATATAATGAGATAATAAGATTATAATAATTGCAATAATATGATCTTGATAATATTTAAAATATTTAAGATTTACATAAAATAATAAATAAGCGAGTTCCGCTCATAAAATATTTTGTTTTGACAGCTAACATGAAATAACCAGCCTCAAAAAGTAAATGTGCATCAAACAAAGCTGATTTGTATTCATTCCGCTTCTCTTGCAGGAAATTTTGGAACTGGTCAAGGGATTCAAAGCTATTAGAATCTCCACTGTTTTTCAAGGATGGCATTTTTGCGAATCGATCTCAAATTTCTCGTCTTAATTCAAGTTATGATAATACACTTATTTCCAAAACACATGTCTCAAGCAACAGCTACCAATAACTGTACAACTGCGGTCAATTCAACTGATGCCTGTAACAAAATCACTTACGAACAAGTTTACAACATCTTGGCGAAATCAGAAAACAGTTTCAACATCGAGTCGGCTCTTTATCCACCCAAGAGGCCTTCCTCAGTTCGTGTGTTTGTAAATGTCTATGGCCCCAACAAAACGGAAAGTTCAACTCCTGCTGCCAAGTACACGTGGAGTATTTCTTGCCTGTACGCTGCTCTTCCTGCTAAAGTTCTTGAATTTTGGTCTTTATGGTCAATCATGGTGACCAGTCGAACACAGGAGCTTAACATAACAATTTCAATTTCCTGCTGCGATGTGACGAAAGGGAAACTAAAAAAACACATCGAAGACGCTCTAGCTGCTGTAAGTACTTTGACCAATTTAGATTATGTGCCAAAATAGCAAAATAATTCTTATTGAACATTAAAAACCGATCAGGAAAAAACATTGCACTCTTAACCTTGTAAACATCTTCTCCGAAAAGAATTGAAAGTAGAGTTGTTACTTCAGTTATTATAACTTCATCTATGGAACTGAAAAAGTTAGTACCCCTTGGAAAATGAGAAATTCGGATAGGTAAGATTTTGGACTACGTCCCCACCCCTCTCCCCTCTCCTCGTCTAAATTTGTTAATTAACATCTTCGTTCTAGTCTCTCCCACAAACTGTAGGTCACTTAAGTGAACGCAAAAAGCTAAAACAGTTCAAAAGAATTGTCTTTGAAGTCCATGAACAGAAACGCAATGATTCTCTAAAGTGGAGATAAAATTTCCATCTTTGCGGAGAGAGTGATTCATATTTCCTTTATTCGAGTTGTTTGGCAAACTGCGCCAGAGTCAGGGAGATTCGTGTATGTTCCCAGAAACTTATGGCTTATTCGGCAGAGTTGGCGTGTAAGTTGGGCATGTACACTGTTATTATGACCATGAACCCATGACTTGGTACTAGTCATACCAAAAGGGATTCATTGTTCTGTGTTTTAAATATTTTTTAAAACCTTCCAATACCCCATAGCTTATCACTTCTTTTTCGCTTACTCTTTTAGAATCATCCTTTTCTTTGATTTGACTTAGTTCTGTCTTATGTTTCATAGCTCCAAGATCTGGCTGTTAGGCCAGCAATGAGAGACCCCCAACTGAATTCTGCTGAGTGTATCACAGAGGGACATCAACCAAATATTTCTTCTGTTACAGAACACAGTTGGCGAATAATAGTAATTTTAGTCCTCTCTTTCCTCTTTTCGATAGTGTCTGGGCCATTGTTGGCCTTTATAACAATGAAGAAACGGGATGAGCTCAAAAATGAGGGGGAATGGGAGTCAAAAGTTAAGAAAAATTCGATAGATTTCCTTTGTGGATTTTTGTTAGTAATATTTGTTGCTATATATATAGCAAAAGTGGTAATAGTTTATGGATATAGCAGCGGTGAGAAAATTGTTCCAATTAACATGTATGCTGTTTTTGTAGCAATACAACCAATCATTGTGTTTGTTGGGATTATAGTCTTTTGTATGACATTATATTGCTGTGGGGAAGACCAGGAAAGACAACAACAACAAGAACAACAACAAGAACTTCCAATGGAGGACATTGTAAAGAAGAAGTCATTCTTTTTCATAATTTGTGCAAATTTAGCAACCTACCATTTTTGTTGGCTCTTAGTTGGTATAATGCTGAATCCTATCTGGGGTCTCGTTGTTCTGCTCGTACTTTGCCTTTTTATTGGTGTCTCAACCTTTGCATTTTATACCTACAAGTCTCCAGTCCCTCAAGGGGAAAACCCCCCCAAAAAAAGTCTGTTATTTTCCTCATGTTTTGCTGGGTTCCTAGCCATCTGTGTTCTTATTGTTATTGTGATTCTAGCTGGGCAGTCATATAATGGAAGACAAACTGCTGATGAAGCTTTGAAAGAAGCAGTGATGTATTTAATCTCTATATTCTTTTCATGGCTCTATTGGAAGGGGTACTGGCTTAGATCTGCTGATCATTAAAGTGGTCATCTTCTGAATGAACTAGCGTAAAAGAAATGCAAACACTTGTGTCTTAAGATGCTCCAATCCTTTCATTTGGATATTATTGTACATGTAAACCAATGGAAAAATTTTTTCTGGACTCACCCTAAGCATCTGAGTAATAACTAACCCTTCATTAATTGCTCATTTTCTGGTAAATTAATGAAGAGTATTTGGTATTGTATCAAAATAGTAGCTGGTCTTATGGCTAAACTTATCTTTTCCTTTTTCCCTAAGTGCTTGATAATGTAATGATATTGTAAGGTGAAGTTTTTCCTTAGTCACAAATTTTACATGCTGTAAATTAACAGTTCATGCAAATGATATAATTAAGTAAGATCCTAATCATTACACACCTAACTTAATTTGAAGAAGTACAGCACTGTTTATTAAAATTATAATCTCAGTTACTATCTTGTGCTAAAACAGGTTTGGATAGCAAACCTTAGCAGCCTATTGTATAAATTTAACTAACCTTAGTTTGCATAACTTGGTACCAATGAAGCCCAAACTAGCTAACTGGCGAAATGTTTACCACCAAGGTAAATAATATTTGTGCCTTTCAAAGTCTATAATTTTTTTGTTCTCATATACAGGTTTGACAATTTGTTTACATCTCCAATGTAGCATTGTAGTTCTGGATGCATTTTATAAAAATTCATTACGCGGAAAAATTTCTAAATCTATATAAAAAACTGTTAGTAATATGTATGCATAGAGGATAACTAGCCAATGGTAAACAGTGCTTTCATTAAGATTTGAGGTTACATAGGTGGCTGTCCCTACATGGCACCTTTAAGAAACTGAAATTGTTCTGGTTTAAAAATGGAAAAAGTTCGTCATATCTGGTGGTCTGCAACAGAACACTGAGTTGGGAGGGGGTCCATCAGTTTATAAAACATCTCCTTTTATGTATTGTGTCAATTTTATTTTTTCTTTAGTGAATTAAAGCTGTCAAGATTTTTTCAGGTATTTTGCTACACAACTAACCTTGCAAGGCTCTCACAAGTCTCTCACAAGGCTCTTACCAAGTCTTACTGAAAGCACTGCCAAATACAAAGACCTCAAGTTGTACCATTTTTAAGTGCCCTATCCTATACAATGTATCAAATAATTAATCTTTTAGCAGGATGACGACTATTAACAAAATATGACTTAATAAATACCTTCAGACTTCTCAATATGTTTTTAATAACCCTCATTGGAGATGGTAATACTTTCATAATCTGGGTAAGCTTTTTTAAGTTTCTCGACTGTGATGGAGTAATCAGCTCTACCAAACCCCTGAAAATTAAACATAATTCTTTCAGAAAGTCAGTCATAAAAATGGAGAAAATCATGTATCACCAATAATTATTTATTACCAACAGACTGACATATGCTTACCTAAAGGTCAGTGTATTGAGGGGTCTGGGTTAAATTCCTGCCCAAGCCATAGAAAGTGTTCCTTAACAGATTGTTTCACTCTCACAAGTCCTGTCTCCACCCAGGAACAAGATGTCAAGAATAGGTTCTGACAAACTGCTGGAGAAACCCAACAAGATGCTGGGTGGTAACCTGCAATAGACTCACATCACATGCAGGGGAGGCAAGTGGTGCTACTCATAGTCACTTCATTCAGGCCTTAACCCTTTACACACCAACATTAGCATGCATTTTCTCCATTCTGTTAGCTATATGTTTCCTAAGGTGCTGACAAGAAGAACTTCCCAAACAATCCAGGGCTTTTGTAGTTTTTGATCATTTCCATTATTCTCATGACCTTAGTGTGTGATTCAGGGGTGATACTGTTGGGAGAAATTAGATGTTAGTCACTCTTAGAGGGTCAAAGGGTTAAACAACCAAAAACTCTCGCTATGTGGGCCCCAAAAAGTTGGCTACAGAGCAATTGCTACCCTGTTTTACCCTCGCAGCATGAGACCCAGATGGTTTTCAGAATAAAGAACACAGGGAATTAAACATGTACACACACAAATTAAAGGATCAAAATTAACCCATCAATCCACCTTTCTCTACATAAAAAGTACAATGAGAACACTTAAGCAGCATGGCTGAATAACAATTTTAAGGCTCTGCACTCAACTTAGTAAATATGTGTACCAGTTTATCTGTCAGATACAAGGATTGACTGAATGACTAATAATAAAATACACGACAGGTCCAGAATTTATATGGCCCATGAATTTAGCTTTGGTTCTGCCACTTGAGCATCTGAGATCAAAAATAAACACCACAACAGACAGAGGCTTGTTTTGGGACCAAACACTCTATTAAATGTATATATCAATAACACACTAGACTATTACATAACAAAGATATTGGACGAATACACTAAACCAACGGTACAGCAATCAAGAATAAACTACAAACACGAATAAGATTAAAGTACAATCATAACTGTCGATGGTGTGGGTGGGAGGGAAACTAAAACTTTCTTAATGCTAGAAATAAACTTGTTGCTTGCTTGCTTGCAAGATTACTAAAAACACGTGCACATATATCTAAGCAGTAATACTAAAGTAATTTTGTAATAAAAACGCATTAGCGTGGTGAATAGCCATTGGCTTTACCCAAGTATTATGGCTTACATGCTAAACAAATTGCTCAATCTTACAGAAAAGGGAAAGTATTAACGTTCACTCTGCCTGTACCCAGTCCAGACCTCTCAGTTATCGATGTTTAGGTTCATATTAATAGAGATAAATATTCACTTTTTATCAGGTATAATTGCAGATGCAAAACAAAGAGGTTGACTCCAGGCTACTGCACTGGATGAAACTACCCTCTAACACAGTTTACACAACATCTTCAGATTAAACTGTAGGTTCTTCAAAAAAAACAAGTTTTGTCTCACACTGCGGTATGACCTCGTAACAAATCGAAAATAATAGAACATCTTAATTAATCCTGAGGCTGAAACCTATCACAGAATAACCATACACAAGGATTTTCTTGTCACTGAGTCTGTAATGTTGTATTCTGTCTTAACCTAAACATTCAGTTTTCAGTCTCATCTCTCCAATTTCCTTCTCTACTTTGTCATAAATATCAGCTGAAAGAAAGACGTGGGACAAAATTATTAAAAATTTTCAATAATACAACACAGGCCTCTATACACTGGTCAGTCGCATCACTAACAACAATCAGCAGGAAAATGGACAAAATAATACACAAGAAGCAAAATGAACAAGATCATATCCTGAGTGTGTTTAGCAACTAGGGAAAAGGCAAGATTTTTCATGTTTAAAAAAACTCTGTTCAGGAATACGAGCGAAATGGCTGTATTGTTGTGCTACCTTTTGTTGTACAAATATAGACTGAGTCTAACTGCGGGTCTAAGAAGGAGTAATTTCATATGAGGTTTTTCCCAGATGTTACTGTTCTTGGGGCTACAAGTTCTCTACTATTGATAGGTGACTTAGCTAAACTAGACTGACAGGAATTATTTCGTACTGATGTGATCAGTTATGATAGATTTAATTTTGTATCACCCTGATTACATTGCAAATCTAATCAAATAACGTTTGGGTATATTGCTCTCTAATAAACTTGTAAAACTCAAAACAAATTGAGTAAGTCGACGTGAAAATAAATCAGCTTGCATTTGCTGGAAAATGTATTTAAAATCATTCACAATAGCTGACTTGTGGCTCCAGTAGTCACAACACCCTTATCAACTTGTAAACACTAGATACTAAAAATATCGCTTGACTTGTAAGTCAAATCATGTGGAGGCATTCAGCCTATTTATCGGTAAGGTAAATTTCTCATGATATCAGCCTTCTCCATTAGCCTTGAGCTCAATTATCGAGTAGATGGACATAAAAGATCAGGTTTATTACTAATTTAAACCGTTAAAGAATTAAGAAATATAAGTATATGAGTTTGCAGTTTACAACTTCCGTTTTCTTTCGGAGTAATCTAGCGTGACCTATTTAAATTCACGCGATCTGTGGTCATTGGACTCTCGTCGTCACAGGCTTAAATGAAAATTTGAATATCTCAATTTGGTGTCGTTTCACTTGATCGTTTGGTTTGGAAGTCTTCTTTACAGGGAAGGTACTCTCCACCTGTTTCATAACATTTTTCTTTTAGTTGTAAGCTTGTCGTCCGCCTACCAAAAAATCAAAGACGATCAGGGTTAAGAGAGTTTGTTTATTACCTGAAAGGTTTGCTGACACAAGTTTAGTTATGAAAAAGCCCTACTTTTCAAATTTATTAGACACAATATGAGATTTCGATGTCTAAAACTCAATGTTTTTACGAGGTCTTAGTGACTAGAATTAGTGATTCCGTGGTCATCTATGATAACCACGAGAGACGAAATTAGGACGGTTGAGCCTACGATAAGCCATTAGTCGTTAGGAGGGTTTAGGTAAGAAATTAAGCTGTTTCCGGCGCTGATTTTTTCCTTAAATGTCTATATCAAAAGGAATTGATTTCGAACTTTGATGAGAAGAGGCTTTATTCAGAATGGCAAACGATAGAAGCTTACAGACACGGATTATTGGAGTTAGACATTGCTATTTCATGGAAACCGGAAGTATTGTGAAAGTGTTCTTTTATTTACATCCAGCCAATATACTAAGTATTTGGCCGAGCCAAAATGTAGGGACTTGTACCACAAATTACTGCAGATAAACTGTGGCCAACAACCTTTCTGCAAGCGTTTCGATCATCTAAGCCACACTGTAGCTAGTTTCTCCACGTGAACTCGCGAGAAATCCTCTACCGATTCTTCTTGAATATATTCACAATTGACAGAAAAGCACTCAGTATTTGTTTCAAAGCCTCGTTTCACCTAAGAATATAAATGGGTACCATAACACTCTCAAGGACTAACGTTTTTATGTGCTGGGTGATTTTCTGCGATGGACTTGCCTCTTGTCCACAGGGAGTAGCAGTATACTAACTCAACACTTCATGCTATATGGAAACTGTGATAACCTCTAGCAGTAATCTAAGCGATTTTCGCTCATAAAATATTGTGTTTTGACAGCTAACATGAAATAACCAGCCTCAAAAAGTAAATGTGCATCAAACAAAGCTGATTTGTATTCATTCCGCTTCTCTTGCAGGAAATTTTGGAACTGGATAAGGGATTCAAAGCTATTAGAATCCCCACTGTTTTTCAAGGATGGCATTTTTGCGAATCGATCTCAAATTTTTCGTCTTAATTCAAGTTGTGATAATGCACCTATTTCCAAAACACATGTCCCAAGCAACAGCTACCAATAACTGTACAAGTGCAGTCAGTCCAACTGATGCCTGTAACAAAATCACTTACGAACAAGTTTACAACATCTTGGCGAAATCAGAAAACAGTTTCAACATCGAGTCGGCTCTTTATCCACCCAAGAGGCCTTCCTCAGTGCAGGTATTTGTAAATGTCTATGGCCCCAACAAAACGAAAAGTTCAACTCCTGCTGCCAAATACACGTGGAGTATTTCTTGCCTGTACGCTGCTCTTCCTGCTAAAGTTCTTGAATTTTGGTCTTTATGGTCAATCATGGTGACCAGTCGAACACAGGAGCTTAACATAACAATTTCACTTTCCTGCTGTGATGTGACGAAAGGGAAACTAAAAAAACACATCGAAGACGCTCTAGCTGCTGTAAGTACTTTGACCAATTTAGATTATGTACCGAAATAGCAAAAATATTCTAATTGAACATTAAAAAACCAATCAAGAAAAAACATTGCACCTTAAACCTTGTTAACATCTTCTCCGAAAAGAATTGAAAGTAGAGTTGTTACTTCAGTTATTATAACTTCATCTATGGAACTGAAAATGTTAGTACCCCTTGGAAAATGAGAAATTCGGATAGATACGATTTTGGACTACGTCCCCACCCCTCTCCCCTCTCCTCATCTAAATTTGTTAATTAGCATCTTTGTTCCGATATCTCCTACAAACTGGAAGTCACTTAAATGAAAGCAAATATCAAATTCAAATCCGTTAAAAAGAATTGTCTTTAAAGTCCATGAACAGAAACGCGACGATTCTCTAAACTGGAGAAAAAATTTTCTTGCCTCTCCATCTTTGCGGAGATAGTGGTTCATATTTCCTTTATTCGAGTTGTTTGGCAAACTATGCCAGAGTCAGGGAGATTCGTGTCTTTTCCCTAAGACTTAAGGCTTATTCGAGAGAGTTGGCATGTATGCTGGGCATGTACACTGTTATTATGACCAAGAACCCATGACTTGGTGCTGGACATACCAACAGGGATTCATTGTTCTGTGTTTTTAAATATTTTTCCGAACCTTCCAGTATCCCATAGCTCATCTTCACTTCTTTTTCGCTTACTCTTTTAGAATCATCTTTTTGTTTGATTTGACTTAGTTCTTTCTTATGTTTCATA